GAGAGACGGTAGGGGGAGGAGGGTGGTGGAGGGGTTGGAGAGAGAGGGTATGGGAGGAAGGTGGGGGAGGGGAAGGAGTATGAGGGGAGGGGGAGGAGGGTAATGGAGGGGTATGAGAGAGACGGTTGAGGGGAGGAGGGTAGTGGAAGGGAGGGGCAGAGACGGTAAGGGTGAGGAGGGAGGTGGAGGGGAGGGAGACGAGGTTGGAGGTTAGTGGAGGACTAAGAAAGAGATAGTTAGGGGGGAGGGGCAGGAGATATGGAAGGGGAGGAGGGGGGAAGAGGGGGAAGGGGAAGCACCTACCAACACACAATGTGTTTTAATCTCTCACTTTTAATTTACAGTGTGAAGACAACACTAGTGAACACGTTACAGTGTGAAGACAACACTAGTGAACACGTTACTGTGTGAAGACAACACTAGTGAACACGTCACAGTGTGAAGACAACACTAGTGAACACGTCACAGTGTGAAGACAACACTAGTGAACACGTTACTGTGTGAAGACAACACTAGTGAACACGTCACTGTGTGAAGACAACACTAGTGAACACGTCACAGTGTGAAGACAACACTAGTGAACACGTTTACTGTGTGAAGACAACACTAGTGAACACGTCACTGTGTGAAGACAACACTAGTGAACACGTCACAGTGTGAAGACAACACTAGTGAACACGTTACTGTGTGAAGACAACACTAGTGAACACGTCACTGTGTGAAGACAACACTAGTGAACACGTCACAGTGTGTGAAGCCAACACTAGTGAACACGTTACTGTGTGAAGACAACACTAGTGAACACGTCACTGTGTGAAGACAACACTAGTGAACACGTCACAGTGTGAAGACAAACACTAGTGAACACGTCACGTGTGAAGACACACAGTGAACACTACTGTGAACAACAAGTGTAACACTGATGTGAAGACAACACTAGTGAACACGTCACTGTGTGAAGACAACACTAGTGAACACGTCACTGTGTGAAGACAACACTAGTGAACACTACGTGTGAAGACAACACTAGTGAACACGTCACAGTGTGAAGACAACACTAGTGAACACGTTACTGTGTGAAGACAACACTAGTGAACACGTCACTGTGTGAAGACAACACTAGTGAACACGTCACAGTGTGAAGACAAACACTAGTGAACACGTTACTGTGTGAAGACAACACTAGTGAACACGTCACTGTGTGAAGACAACACTAGTGAACACGTCACAGTGTGAAGACAACACTAGTGAACACGTTACTGTGTGAAGACAACACTAGTGAACACGTCACTGTGTGAAGGCAACACTAGTGAACACGTCACAGTGTGAAGACAACACTAGTGAACACGTTAACTGTGTGAAGACAACACTAGTGAACACGTCACTGTGTGAAGGACAACACTAGTGAACACGTCACTGTGTGAAGACAACACTAGTGACACGTCACAGTGTGAAGACAACACTAGTGAACACGTTACTGTGTGAAGACAACACTAGTGAACACGTCACTGTGTGAAGGCAACACTAGTGAACACGTTACTGTGTGAAGACAACACTAGTGAACACGTTACTGTGTGAAGACAACACTAGTGAACACGTCACTATGTGAAGACAACACTAGTGAACACGTCACAGTGTGTGAAGCCAACACTAGTGAACACGTTACTGTGTGAAGACAACACTAGTGAACACGTCACTGTGTGAAGCAACACTAGTGAACACGTCACTGTGTGAAGACAACACTAGTGAACACGTTACTGTGTGAAGACAACACTAGTGAACACGTCACTGTGTGAAGACAACACTAGTGAACACGTTACTGTGTGAAGACAACACTAGTGAACACGTACTGTGTGAAGACAACACTAGTGAACACGTTACTGTGTGAAGACAACACTAGTGAACACGTTACTGCGTGAAGACAACACTAGTGAACACGTCACTGTGTGAAGGCAACACTAGTGAACACGTCACTGTGTGAAGACAACACTAGTGAACACGTCACTGTGTGAAGACAACACTAGTGAACACGTCACTGTGTGAAGACAACACTAGTGAACACGTCACTGTGAAGACAACACTAGTGAACACGTCACAGTGTGAAGACAAACACAGTCATCACGTGTGAAGCCAACACTAGTGAACACGTTACTGTGTGAAGACAACACTAGTGAACACGTCACTGTGTGAAGACAACACTAGTGAACACGTCACTGTGTGAAGGCAACACTAGTGAACACGTCACTGTGTGAAGACAACACTAATGAACACGTCACTGTGTGAAGACAACACTAGTGAACACGTCACTGTGTGAAGGCAGCACTAGTGAACACGTCACTGTGTGAAGGCAACACTAGTGAACACGTCACTGTGTGAAGACAACACTAATGAACACGTCACTGTGTGAAGACAACACTAGTGAGCACGTCACTGTGTGAAGACAACACTAGTGAACACGTCACTGTGTGAAGACAACACTAGTGAACACGTCACAGTGTGAAGACAACACGTCACTGTGTGAAGACAACACTAGTGAACACGTCACAGTGTGAAGACAACACTAGTGAACACGTCACTGTATGAAGACAACACCAGTGAACACGTCACTGTATGAAGACAACACCAGTGAACACGTCACAGTGTGAAGACAACACTAGTGAACACGTCACTGTATGAAGACAACACTAGTGAACACGTCACAGTGTGAAGACAACACTAGTGAACACGTCACTGAATGAAGACAACACTAGTGAACACGTCACAGTGTGAAGACAACACTAGTGAACACGTCACAGTGTGAAGACAACACTAGTGAACACGTCACAGTGTGAAGACAACACGTCACAGTGTGAAGACAACACTAGTGAACACGTCACAGTGTGAAGACAACACTAGTGAGCACGTCACTGTGTGAAGACAACACTAGTGAACACGTCACAGTGTGAAGACAAACTAGTGAAACGAGTCACTGTGTGAAGACAACACTAGTGAACACGTCACAGTGTGAAGACAACACTAGTGAACACGTCACAGTGTGAAGACAACACTAGTGAACACGTCACAGTGTGAAGACAACACTAGTGAACACGTCACTGTGTGAAGACAACACTAGTGAAGCACGTGGTCACTGTGTGAAGAGAAACACTAGTGAAACACGTCACAGTGGAAGGACAACATAGTGAACACGTTGACTGTGTGAAGGACAACACTAGTGAACACGTCACAGTGTGAAGACAACACGTCACAGTGTGAAGACAACACGTCACAGTGTGAAGACAAAACACTGAAATCCTCTGAGAAGGAAGTAGTGGATCAAGTTTACAAGGCAGTAGACCTACTTCAGAAAGACGGGGGGAGGGATATAGGCCTTGTTTAGGAAGGAGAGGATGGGTGGGAGGCAGGGATGGGTGAAGGAAGGAGGGAGGGGTGAGAGAAGGAGGTAGGGAGACAGGGAGGGGTTGAAAGAGGAGGTAGGGAGACAGGGAGGGTGTGGAGGAGGAAGGTAGATGAGGCAGAATGGGTCTAGTTTAATGGAAGGAGAAGAATATGCCGAGAACAAGAACAGGTGCGACAGGGAAGGGAGGGAGAGGGGGAGAGTAGGAGCCGTTGGACAGGTAGAGGAGGGAGGAGGAAAGGATAAAGACAAAGAAAAATGGAACAAGGGTAAGATACGTGTAGGTGTGATAAATGGTGGGGGGAGTTGTAAGGGAGGAGGACGAGGACGATGAAGGAGATATTTACCTGGAGGATATTCCGGGGATCAACGCCCACGCGTACCGGTCCATGACTAGGCCTCCTGGTGGATCAGGACCTGATCAACCAGGCTGTTACTGCTGGTCGCACTTAGTCCAGATACCTAAAGACGGTGCTGGATCAGCCGGGCTGTGGTTCGTACGTTGGATTACGTGCGGCCAGCAATAACAGCCTCGTTGATCAGGCCCTGGTCCACCGGGAGGCCTGGTCGTGGACCGGGCCGCGGGGACGTTGATCCCCGGAATGTCCTCCAGGCAGTCTGGCTGATCCGGCACTGACTTCAAGTATTTGTCCAGCTCTCTCTTGAAGGGAGCCGGGGGGGGGGGGGTCAATGGGATTCACAGAATTCCTTGTTAATAACAAAATGAAAAGCAGTGTACTAGCAGCAGGAGCACTCAGAGCCTTCGCAGAAAGAGCTTTAATCTAAGTGAATCACCAGGGACATTAAAGAGTGCAGACACAGTTCCTGTGCATAAGAGAGGCAGTAGAACACTAGAGAGATATGGAAGTGTAAAATAACCCCCATGAAAAGTAGGAGCACCGTGGCCACAGTAAGAGAACATTGTATCAACATCTGTGTTTCCAGATTGTTCAACTTTTACCTGGTCATGGACCGGGCCGCGGGGGCGTTGATCCCCGGAATAACCTCCAGGTAACCTCCAGGTAACCATTATCAAAGACATTGCTGGGACAAGTGTTGAAGTCTTCAAGAGGAAACTGGACATATTAACCAGGTTGTGATGGATATGTGGGTCACAGACTGGTTGACCAGGCAGGCAATAACACTACACAAGTTTGGCCAGACCTACAATTTAAGAGGTCTGGTCTGAGCCGCGGGCGCCATCATCTCAGAAACCATTACCAGATAAGCGCAAAATATCCTCTGAAGAGGGTCTTTAGCTGAACCGAAAAAATGTTTAGGATGTCTCTGTAATATGGGTTACTACAATAGTTAAAGCAGACAACTCACACTGACTAAACGCTTAAAAGCATGTTGGGTCGCTTTCAGAATACCTCAGATAAATTACGAGTGTAGGCGTTGAGTGTACATAGAACCTGCCTAACATGAGCCAGTAGACCTACCTCACTGTTAGGCGTGAAAAGGACCTGTCTAGTAGAGGCCTGAAGGCCTACCACAATGTTTCTCTATTCAAAGTGTAGCAGAACACAGACATGTATATGAAGAGAGAGTTTGTGAGAGCACTGGAAGGTGTGTGTGAGCATCAAGACAGTAAGGTAAGACTCACCTATATCCTGAACGTGGCGGGGAGGGGACCACACCTGTGTACAAACAAACTGTTATAAACATATGTACAACAACAACGTTAGTCACAAAGAAAGCAGAACAAGTATATACAACAATATCAAATTACAGGTCACAAAAAATATATGTATTTACAACGAAACAAAAACAATAATAATAATAATAATAATCATAATAACACAAATACCTTCACCAGGTGCCAGATCAACCAGGCTGTGATTGATATGTGGGTCAGTAGGCCCAACAGCAGCAACAGCCTGGTTGACCAGGCTAGCGCCAGACGAGCCTGGCCCAAGACATAGCTCCAGGAGTAGAAGCACTCTCGAGACTCATCAACGGTATTATCAAAGGTAAAGTAGCAGTGTGTTGCTGAATCATAGCTGCACACTGGTAACACAAGCTAGATGTTTCCTCATATTCCATCACACAGGATGGTTCACATATATATAGTGCTGGAATATGTCAGCCTAAGCTGGCTGGAAGACCTCAGTAGTGTCAGCCTGAGCTGGAAGACCTCAGTAGTGTCAGCCTGAGCTGGAAGACCTCAGTAGTGTCAGCCTGAGTTGGAAGACCTCAGTAGTGTCAGCCTGAGTTGGAAGACCTCAGTAGTGTCAGCCTGAGCTGGAAGACTTCAGTAGTGTCAGCCTGAGTTGGAAGACTTCAGTAGTGTCATCCTGAGTTGGGAGACCTCAGTAGTGACATCCTGAGCTGGGAGACTTCAGTAGTGTCATCCTGAGTTGGGAGACTTCGGTAGTGTCATCCTGAGTTGGGAGACTTCAGTAGTGTCAACCTGAGCTGGGAGACTTCGGCAGTGTCGTCCTGAGCTGGGAGACTTCGGTAGTGTCATCCTGAGTTGGGAGACTTCAGTAGTGTCAACCTGAGCTGGGAGACTTCGGCAGTGTCGTCCTGAGCTGGGAGACTTCGGTAGTGTCATCCTGAGTTGGGAGACTTCGGTAGTGTCGTCCTGAGCTGGGAGACTTCGGTAGTGTCATCCTGAGCTGGGAGACTTCGGTAGTGTCAACCTGAGCTGGGAGACTTCAGTAGTGTCAACCTGAGCTGGGAGACTTCGGTAGTGTCGTCCTGAGCTGGGAGACTTCGGTAGTGTCATCCTGAGCTGGGAGACTTCAGTAGTGTCATCCTGAGCTGGAAGACTTCGGTGGTGTCGTCCTGAGCTGGGAGACTTCGGTAGTGTCATCCTGAGCTGGGAGACTTCGGTAGTGTCAACCTGAGCTGGGAGACTTCAGTAGTGTCAACCTGAGCTGGGAGACTTCGGTAGTGTCGTCCTGAGCTGGGAGACTTCGGTAGTGTCATCCTGAGCTGGGAGACTTCAGTAGTGTCATCCTGAGCTGGGAGACTTCGGTAGTGTCGTCCTGAGCTGGGAGACTTCGGTAGTGTCATCCTGAGTTGGGAGACTTCGGTAGTGTCATCCTGAGCTGGGAGACTTCAGTAGTGTCATCCTGAGCTGGGAGACTTCAGTAGTGTCGTCCTGAGCTGGGAGACTTCAGTAGTGTCGTCCTGAGCTGGGAGACTTCGGTAGTGTCAACCTGAGCTGGGAGACTTCAGCAGTGTCATCCTGAGCTGGAAGACTTCAGTAGTGTCGTCCTGAGCTGGGAGACTTCAGTAGTGTCAGCCTGAGCTGGGAGACTTCAGTAGTGTCAGCCTGACGACGTACCAGAGTACGAAATATCTACCACTAAAGATTTCCCCATCCTGATGAGGCTTGTCCTTCACAGTTAATTAAGACAGCTCTGTTCCACATGGCACAGTACTCGCCCCCATCTTATTCCTCATCCTCATATCAGACATAGACAGAGATATACACCACAGCACCGTATCATCCTTTGCGGATGATACTAGGATCTGCATGAGGCTGTCATCTGCTGAGGACGCGGTTAACCTCCAAGAAGATATAAACAAAGTTTTCCAGTGGGCAACGGTAAACAATATGATGTTCAATGAGGACAAATTCCAACTACTCCGTTATGGAAAACTGGAGGAGATAATAACTAGAACAGAGTATACTACTGACTCCGGCCATACAATAGAGCGGAAAAATAATGTAAGGGACCTGGGAGTAGTAATGTCTGAAGATCTCACTTTCAAGGATCACAACAGTGCCACGATCGCACGTGCAAAGAAAATGATAGGATGGATAATGAGAACTTTCAAAACGAGAGATGCCAAGCCAATGATGATCCTTTTCAAATCACTTGTTCTCTCTAGGCTGGAATACTGCTGTACATTAACATCTCCATTCAAAGCAGGTGAAACCGCAGATCTAGAGAGTGTACAGAGATCCTTTACTGCACATATATATTCTGTCAAGCACCTTAACTACTGGGAACGCTTGGAAGCACTTGACTTGTACTTGTTGGAACGCAGGAGAGAGAGATATATCATAATCTACACTTGGAAAATCCTGGAAGGAATGGTCCCAAATCTGCACACAGAAATCACTCCCTACGAAAGTAAAAGACTGGGCAGGCGATGCAAAATGCCCCCAATTAAAAGTAGGGGCGCCATTGGTACACTAAGGGAAAAACACCATAAGTGTCCGGGGCCCAAGACTGTTCAACATCCTCCCATCAAGCATTAGGGGAATTGCCAATACACCCCTGGCTGCCTTCAAGAGAGAGCTGGACAGATACCTAAAGTCAGTGCCGGATCAGCCGGGATGTGGCTCGTACGCTGGACTGCGTGCGGCCAGCAGTAACAGCCTAGTTGATCAGGCCCTGATCCACCGGGAGGCCTGGTCATGGACCGGGTCGCGGGGGCGTTGATCCCCGGAATAACCTCCAGGTAACCAGGTAGCTTGTTTGCGACTGTATTACATATTAACGTGTGCAGATCAACCTAGGATAACCCAGTAAAGTCTAACACTCATCACTTACTCTGATGTCCTTGTGAATTTCTTCCACTGTTTCAGGTCACCTTACCCAGGGTTACCTGGTTACCTGCCTAACCTCCAGGAAACCAGGTAACCCTGGCGGGAGAAGTCTCGAGAAGTCAACGTTATATATAGAACCAAAGAACAATACTGGGGCTGGTCAAGGAGTGAAGCCGGGAGAGTAGCAGGAATCACAGGTTCACTCCTGGCCAACCTCCAGTAATGTTCTTTGGTTTAACACAAGACCATAAGAAGGAACACTGCACTGTACTAGCACTTTAGGCCTACTGGCTCATGCTAGGCAGGTCCAAGTCACCTACCGGCCTAAGCCACTGGTGACTTGAACCTGCTTTGCATGGGCCAGTAGGCCTGCTGCAGTGTTCCTTCCTTATTTTGAAGCCACTTGCTTCTTCTGGTTACACAGATACCTATATAGGTACTCAAGGAATATAAAAACTAGAGGTAAGCTATGTGATACCAGAACCAGGTGGTCACTGGAAGAGCTGGTAGATACCTGGGTATGAGAGCTGGGGGATGGAAAGGGAAGAGGGGAGGATACTGATAAACAGAAAGAAAAGGGGATGGTCTGAGAGGCAGAGAGGGAATCATGGTACTGGTGGTGAAGATGGGGGAGATGATGGTGATGGTGCTGGAGAGGAAGGACATGGTGGTGGGGGAGGCAGGTAGTATAAATTATTCTCCCCCACACACCTATTTTTTTTCCTTATCACCCCAGCCCGCACATCCCGACCTCACCCCTCTACCCACACCCCTCTACCCACACCCCATCACCAACCTTCACATCCACCACACCAAACCTTTGATGGATTTCTATAGTTTTCTTTATCTCGCAGCCCGGTCCTGGGCCAGACTTGTCTGTTACTGGCCTGGTCAACTAGGCTGTTGTATTAATGTTGGCAGAATTACCCACAATATGTTAGGTAAAAGAACACAAGTACAACTAATATGTTCACACAATAAAATATCACATTAGTTGCATTTGTGTCCTTATACCTAACCAGGCTGTTGCTGCTGGCGGCCCGCTTACCCACATATCCATCACAGCCTGGCTGATCTGGCACCTGGTGAAAAAGAAAATTTAGTTTCCTCTTGCAAACCTTTACACTTGTTCCAACAGTGTTTCTGATATCTTTCAAGTTATAAACGTCTGGAGCCACGGATATTGATACAATGTCTCATTTTGCCCACCGCACCGCTTCCACTGGGTTTTTAGGCAATGTCTTGACCTGAAAGCCTAAAGTAATTTTACAAGATTTTTAATGTTTCTCGCCATCCGCCGAGTACAATTAAACTCGGATTTTCCCAGTCATAATTTTGTTTTATGGAATTAATCCTATAATATTTAACTTTCCTGGCCCATGGTACTTTCATTAAGTTTCTTGAAAATATCGCTTGGCATGATTAACCCAGATCCTTAATATTCACCCTTGGATCATGGTTTTGTAAGGTTAATTTAGTTCTTTATTTTTTACACTAAGATAATTGAAGCATACGGTCATGTGTTCCCCAACAGTCCCCCGGTCAACACTGTTTTAACCCCGTAAGTTTTCCAGTGTTACTCCCGGTTATTTCTTTTAAATTTGGATCATCCGCAAATTTCCATTTTTAGCACAGATTTGGGATAAACCTATTGTAACCAGCAGATGTACCATAGGTCTGGAGTTTGTCTTCATGCAGTTTTCTCACCCTGTATGTATCTTTGGTAATTGATATTTTCCCAAATTCTAGGAGTCAGTTAGGACCAACGGCTCCCATTAATTAGGCGTTTGACCGAGTTTATACGAGCTGGAAGTTCTCTGTACATTTCCAGATAAAGCAATTTCCCTGCCTTGAAGAGCCGCTAGTAACAGTAATATCCAGCTTAGAGAGAACCATGACCTGAGAGTGTCATCACTGCTTGCATCTCTTGTTCTGAAAGTCTAGTTATTCTGATTTACAATCATACCAGCTTGCTCCTGAACCTGGTTAAACTACAATTTATTTGATGAATTTAACAACACAATCAACAAGCAAAAAGTAATAACGCAAGAAAAATAACAAACCACACAACCAGACAAATACAAACAAAATACCTAAGTACAAGTAAAATAAATTTTTTAAACGCAGAGA